ATCCATGCTCTAGTGTTTGGACTGAAAGGAGAAGAAACCCCATTTTTAATTGTACAGACATCAGATTCCCATTCCCAAACCATAAAACAATAAAAACTAATGGATTTATCTAAACTTTATCCTACTTACAGATAGTGAAGAGTCTTTTCTTGGAGAGAGACATGATGTCTGTCCCCCTCAGTACCTTGAGAGAAACTGCCCAGGGACAAAGGAGGGAAAAACCAAAAATTCCTTTGTCTCAGTTTGAAATTTCTACCTGCATTTCTATTGGCTGCCTGCTACCTGGTTATATACAGTTAACCCATTAGTCCCCAGGATGCTGCCCACCCTCATGGTCATGACAGTGACCTACAGTGGAGCACCCATAAGGATACTTCTTGAAGAAGAAGAAAAAAGAAGTTACTTGCCTTGTGTAGCAACTGATGTTCAAGATGGGTGTCCCTGTGAGCATTCCACGACCTTCACTCCTGCCCTCTGCTTCAGAGTCTTAACATCTTTCTGTGGTAGAGAAGTGAGGGTATGTCTACACTACAGCACTAATTCGAACTAACTTAATTCGAATTAGTTAATTTGAACTAAGCTAATTCGAACTAGTGCATCTAGACCTAAAAACTAGTTCGAATTAGCATTTTGCTAATTCGAACTAGCATGTCCACATTGAGTGGACCCTGAACCGAGGTTAAAGATAGCAGGAAGCAGTGCCAGCAGGGCATCAGATTAGGACTTAGAGCATGGAGCTGCTGTCTCAGGCTAGCCGAGAGCTGTGCTTAAAGGGACCCGACCCCCACCCCGGATAGACAGTTCTCAGGGGTTCCCCGCTCACTTGTCTAACTTGATGAGGGACAGCAAAGCAGTCCTGGCTTGGAGTGCCCTGAATGCCCAAACTCGGCATATCACAGGACTCGGCCATCAGCCCGGCTGCACTTGCCGCAGGCTGCCATCTGGGGAGAGGGAGCAATTGGGGGGCTGCAGGAGAGCTTCCACCCCCAGAAGCCCGCAGAGCCAGCCCAGTCCTCCCCATCAGGGGCTCGTACCCCATTCCTCCCTCACCTCCTTCCACTTACCCTGAATCCCTCATTACTGGCCCCACACCAGAGCCCACACCCCCAGTCTACAGTTCATACTCACTCTCATATCTCAACCTCCTGCCCCAGACTGGTGAAAATGAGCCAGTGAATGAAGGGGGGACTGAGCAACAGAGAAAGGAGAGATGGAGTGAATGTATGGGAGCTGGGGCCTCAGAGAAATTGAAGGGTGGGGTGCAGCCTTGGGGAAGGGTGTTCAATTTCTGAAAGATGGCAATCCTAAACCAAAGGAACTGTGGAGAAAGAGGTATAGGAAATAGGTACACTGGTTCTGTGCATGTGAGGAACTCTTTTGTGCAAGGGAATATCCTTGCAGGGGACTTGTGGGTGGCTTTACCACCTGAGCATCAAAAAAAGGAGCAGATCCTAGTAGAGATCCTACCCTGAGCTATTGCCTTTAAACTCTCTGAAACATTAAGGGTATGTCTACACTACCACCCTAGTTCGAACTAGGGTGGTTAATGTAGGCAACCGGAGTTGCAAATGAAGCCCGGGATTTGAATTTCCCGGGCTTCATTTGCAT